AAACAGGTAACTAGGGGTATCCTTCACCCCTGAAAAACAACAGCTACAAGCGAAAAATTTTAAAAAATCAACAGCAATGATAAACGCAATAAGAGTAAAGATATGCTGATCAAACAGATGACGGATTTTGTTCATTTATTCATTGATCTGATTTTTATCCCACCTTTCTCCCCAATGGGAACACAAGGCACCAAACATATATATATATCAACAACCAATTAAAACAAACCAACTAAAGTTTAAAATGAGAGCATACAAACATTAAAAATATTATTTAGAAGTTTTTAAACCAGATTTTAAAAGACCTCATCTTCAGTTGCCTGCTGACCTCCGAAAATCCTCTCTAATAAGGTAAATGATCAGTCGCCAGGGAAAGAAAAGGCGGGAAGAGGCCATCGTCGTGAAGCGACGAAGGCGTTCCGTAATTGCCATATTTCGGTGCATCTATGGGCATAATAAAGTCTTGATTTGACCTGGGGTTTCATCAGGAGTTGCCGTCAAATTTCAAATGCAAGATGAAACAAAGCAATTTATGCTACCATTTAAATAACCGCCTCTGTTTCTTCGCCTTTCTAAGATTGCTATGCAGAGAGAAAATATTTTAACCCACCCAGGTTTTTTTTTAAGCCAGTGATTCTTAAAGTGTACTATTAAGTCTTTTTTGTTTTAACCCCAAGCTTTCTGTTTACAGAAATGTTCCAAGCAGCTTGCAACCCAAAGAATATATTTTAACAAGAGAAACCCAACAAGTAACATATGGAAAACAAAAGATACTTGTGGCGTAAACACAAGGCCAGAAACACATGCAGATCTAAACAAGTGAGCCAAGCTGCATATTCTTTGTGTGCAGGGAAAGACTGAGGGGGAAGCCTTTGGCTTCTCATTCGAGTCCCAAATGATTTCCCCAGGCAATTTTATTTAGTTTCTGAGCATTCATCATCCCGCCCCAAATGCCACCCTATATATATAATTTTTTTTCACGCCGTCAGTCGGGCCCATTTGCATGTCTATTGCGCCTGCCGCCACGGGTGTGAGGGTCAATTGAAACTCGAGAAAAAGAGGGGGAAATTTTATGCAAAACTGTTGATTGCATTTGTATGTAATGAAATCATCCAATATTCATTCCGACTCTGGGGCTCTAATCTGCAAGAAGAACTGAAGGGCCTAAAAGTCACTGGGAAGCTGTAATGAGCTTCTGTAGTGATTAAAAAAAGAAGAAGAGGCACTTGAGTTTCCAACAATCCAGGCCCAAAGCGTGGCTAATCAACACCGAATATTGAAGGCAGGCGATTATGTTGTGGCGCTTCCCGCTTCCCTCTTCTCTCCCCCCCCATTGCACTCCCCTCCTGCAAAGCACACTCTCAAAAGATGTGCGCGCTTCAGAAATGCCCAATGTGCCATCTCCCCATTGGGGGAAATCGCACAATCAAGAAGCCGGCTTGACTGTCCTTTACGCAAAAGCTGGTGTCTTCTCCTGCCCCCTCTGCCAGTGCCATATAGGAGCAGAGAAGACAATTTGACTCCATGAAGGGGCCTGGCTGGAGCGCCAACTTACCACTTTCTACCTCCCACAGGCTGCTTCAGTGCTTTTTTGGGGGGGAGGTTAATCATCCTCTTAGAACTGCAAAGCTGGAAGGGTAGTTTCCAGATCCACCGCGAGGAATCAAACTCCTAACCTCTGGCTTTGCAGGTATACGCTTAAACCACTGAGCTATCCAGCTCAGATTTATTCAGAGGTTGGTTTCATAAAAGGGTTGCTAGTATCTCTTGAACCCAGGACCAGCCTTTGAGGTAAGGAACTGCTCTACCATATGGACAAAGGTAGGTTGGTTTCTTGGCCTTGCGATTGCACAGTGTTTAAGAACAAGTTTGAGTATGAACAAGGATCTGGTTAGCATCCTTTGAAGCCTACAGGAAGCACAAATGGGGTTTGGGAACTCAGAGTTAGGGAAGGACCCCATCCAGAATGGGACTGTACCATCCTGAAAGACTGACTCTTAACGTGCAAGTCCTCCTTGATCTGCTTTCGGAGGCTCACTTCATATCAATGTAAAGGACTGTCTTTTAGCAACATTACCTGTGGCACAAGCTATATCCGTTTCTAGCAATGTTGAACACTGCCACCGCCATCCCCATTATAAACACTAGATCAGAAGCCGGTAAAAGCCTTTGCACGAGTCTGTTCTGAAAAAAAAAAACTGTTCAGGAACTTGCCATTGGCATAAAATATCATTACTAAAATACTGGATACAGTTGGGCTGATGAAAACTTCTTACTCTGCACTGGCTTATTTGTCACTCTGCACTGGCTTATTTGTCGCTCTGCACTGGCTTATTTGTCGCTCTGCATTGGCTTATTGGTTTCCAGATTTACAGCTCTGGAAGCTTAGGAACCAGAATCATCGCCAAAACACAGCAGACTAGAATACTTTAGTTGTGATAAATATTGGTTTCCAGATTTACAGCTCTGGAAGCTTAGGAACCAGAAGAACAGAGAAGTCATCAACATAAAAAACACAGCAGACTAGAATACTTTAGCTACATTGTGATAAACAGTGCAGATTGTTACTGCTGATCATTCGAGGCACACTGAAGGCTCATCAAAGCAAAGCAAAGAAAATGCTTGACTGGAGAATCTGGGAGATCAGATGCAATACTCATTGTTTAGAATACAACAATCGTACCCAACCTAGGACAGAACAGGCATGACAGCGAGGTTATGTTGATGGATCCCGTGTTTTTCAACTGAACTGTGGTGCATTTTTATGCTGTATTCCCCATCGGCCATGCTGGTTTTGCTCATAAACCATGCTCACTGCTTTATCATTCAAATTTGAAAAAAAAATATGTATGTATATGTGTGTGTGTATGTATATACAATTTAAAAAGCAACGAGTATCAGGTTCAGATGGATGGTTCCTTTGGGGAAAATACAGTGGTGCCTCGCTAGACGATGATAATCCGTTCCACTGAATCGCTGTTTAGCGAAATCATTGTCTAGTGAACAGCATTTCCCCATTGGAATGCATTGAAACCTGTTTAATGCGTTCCAATGGGGAAGAATCATCGTTGTCTAGTGAAGATCAGCCATAGGAAAGCCGCTTTGCGAACCGCCGATCAGCTGCTTAAATCGCTGTCTTGCGAAGCGTAGGTCCTGAAAACACCCATTTTGCGAGCGCGGAGGGAGCTGTCAAAATCGTCGTCTAGTGAAAATCGGTTTGCGAAGCAGGGACCAAACATTGTCCAGCGAAATTCCCCCATAGGAATCACTGTTTTGCAAATCGCTACAGCGATTGCAAAAAGTCAATGTCCGGCGGAAAAAACGGCCATGTGGGGTAACTGTCTAGCGAGGCACCACTGTAACTTTTATTAGTCCTCGTATTCTCATTCTTTTCTCTCTCTCTCTCTCTCTCAGATTTTGCATGTTCTCCTTCTGGAAATGCTAAAAAAAAGAGAGAGAGGCACCTCCAAGAAGGTCAAGAGAGAACTGCCCTCCACATGGTTTTTCCTATCAGTCTGTTTCTTTGCATCGCGGAAGTGGGGGAGAGATGAGCAGCACAGAAGGGGGAAGTCCAGGTTGTTGGTGCTCCATGGGGCCAGGTCTGCCCTCCACCCTCCACTCTCCCCCATAAACACCCCAGAGGGGGAAGCTCACAGGCTGGAGTTGAAAGGGAAAGGGGAAGAACGATTTTTCTCTCCTCTTCAGACCTCACATGTCAACAATTTCTCTGCCTTGTGTATCTTGGCCAGAAGCGCCTCCTCTCTTGATAAATGAATCGCAGAGGGGGAGGAAAAAGAAAAAGGAATACCCAGCAATGTCCCTTTGGGCGTTTGGTTCAGAAAATTGCTTTCAGCTCAGGCCGTTTTTAGCCTGTCCAACATTTGTCAAACAGGGCCCGTCCTTCGTCCGAGACGCCAAGAGGGGAGGGACGGGAAAACGGAAGGGTGACCCCCTCCTGGCACAGAATCAGCATCGTGGCAAAAACACACACACACACACAACACACCAAGCAGCTCTCTTCCTGGGCCAGCTTTGTGGCTTCTCCTCTGCCAGGGGGCCAGAGATGGCACAGCCAAAGGGCAACAGCCACACTCCCTAAACTGGTGCCCTGGGACCACAGCTTCCATCTTCCCCAACCAGTAGGCTAGAGCTGATGGGAGTTGTGGTCGGAGGCCGCCACAAAGCCACCCTAAGCCGGATGAGATGTCCAAAGCTTCTGGAGCAGCAGACATCGGATTGTGGCCTTCACAGGCTCATACCACCGAAAGGAGAAAAAGCTCTCCCCCTCCCCAAGCCCAGGACTGGGGGGCTGCCGGATCGACCGATGTCACTTCTATAGCCACCTTTTTCCCCCTGCCTTATCAGCATCGTGGCAAACACACACACACACACACACACACACAAAACACACGGAGCAGCTCTCTTCCTGGGCCAGCTTTGTGGCTTCTCCTCTGCCAGGGGGCCAGAGATGGCACAGCCAAAGGGCAACAGCCACACTCCCTAAACTGGTGCCCTGGGATCATAGCTTCCATCTTCCCCAACCAGCAGGCCAGAGTTGATGGGAGATGTGGTCGGAGGCCGCCACAAAGTCACCCTAAGCCAGATGAGATGTCCCAAGCTTCTGGAGCAGCAGACATCGGATTGTGGCCTTCACAGGCTCATACCACCGAAAGGAGAAAAAGCTCTCCCCCTCCCCAAGCACAGGACTGAAGGGCTGCCGGATCGACCATTATTCCCAATGTCACTTCTATAGCCACCTTTCTTTCCCTGCCTGCCCTCCACCCTGGCAACAGCTCCTGCACTCCCTTCTGCTCCTAAGCAAGTTGTCAGCGCAGCTGAAAGGCCAAGAAAGGCTGGACTCCCATCACGCGAATCGATTTTAGCCTCCCAAGTTGGTAAAGATTGTTTTAGACCAGCCGACAAAGCTGCTCCCCAACCGAGAATGTTGTTCCTATCGCTAGGATGATGGGGCTGCGTTTCGCCCAGTAACCACCTGGACATTTCGCAGTTCTGGCTGTTATTTATTTGATGCACCTACAACAGCGGGTTCACGAAGACAGGGGTTTTCCCGGGCCGCTTCTACCCACAACAGAGTCCGTGAGTCAAACGGAACAGCCGCGCTGAATGGGGACCGGCAGCCACGATGCCATTCTCTTCTGGATCCTCTGGATGGCCGTGTTTCGCAAGGCTGAATAAGGCCATGAATGAAAGCCCCAGCTAACTTCCGAGAGGAAGCCACGAAGCTAGTTATTAGTCTCTGTGATGCTCAGATGGCGTTGCCACAGTCCAGCACGGCAAAGGAAGATGGGGTTGGGGTGGGCGTGGAAAACACCCCAAACCATCTCTAACAGTTGCTGTACAAGCGTAGCATGGTTATCCCAGCAGCTCCTTCGTCTTAGACGCCAACAGTTTCTCCAGTTCAGCGGTAACGTCATCTGTCATTTGCTGGATCTGTGTTGTGAACATGAGAAATGCATTAAAACAAAACAAAACAAACTACAGTGGTGCCTCGTATAGCGAGGTTAATCCGTTCCGGATTAACCTTCGCTATGACGAAACATCGCTAAACGGGATGGAAAAAGCCAATGGAACGCATTAAACTTCGCTTAATGCATTTCAATGGCTTCTTTACTCACAGTTCAGCGAAGTTTCCTCATTGCGCAGCCATTTTCGCGCCCTCGGTAAGCAAGCGTTGCCACAGTCCAGCACGGCAAAGGAAGAGGGGTTGGGGTGGGTGTGGGAAATACCCCAAACCATCGCTAACAGTTGCCGTACAAGCCTTTGGTTATCCCAGCAGCTCCTTCGTCTTGGCCGCCAACAGTTTCTCCAGTTCAGCGGTAACGTCATCTGTCATTTGCTGGATCTGCGTTGTGAACGTGAGAAATGCATTAAAACAAAACAAACTACACAACTTCCATCTGACAAAGTTCTTTTCGCCCATTGGGGCCATCGGTAAGTGATCGCATTAGCGATCTCAAAAAAGAGATCACTATGCAATTTCTTCGTTATGCGGTGCGCTCGTTAAGCGAGGCACCAATGTACACAACTTCCATCTGACAAAGTTAGGAGTCGGTTATTTGAAGAAGTGAAGCAGAAATCCAGAGTTCTGGTGGAGGGTTACAGTCACAGACACTAAACAACAGCTGCCCGGCGTCGGACCGAAAAAGGCACGTAAACTAGCATCCCGTTTTATCCCAGTGACCAAACAGACACTATTGGGCAGTCCAAAATCTGGTACATGTGTTAAAGCCCCCTGCGGCTCGAGCATTCTGGGAACTGGTTGTCTCTCCCCGCCCACCCCCCAAAAAATCTCTGATAACTACCAATCACGGTTAACCATCGCAAGTCCACGCAAAGAAATCAGGATGAAGATTAAAACCTGTGTGTCTTTACTAAGAATCGAAGATCTGATAAGAGCCATTCCGTCAGTTGCAAAATGAGTCTGAGTTCAGTTCAAAACACAGAGCTTTTTCTTTTTTAAGACAAAAACACGTCGGCACCTTAAAGACGGATATTATATTTTTAAATGCGAGGATTTTGTGTCTCTTTTGGAAGTTCCAGTACAACAAGTAAAGATGCACCGATTTTCCTGACAGGCTAGCTTTCCCAATACGGGGAGGTGTTTCACATGGGACTCTTACCCACGCGTGTGCTTGAGAGACAGGGACAACTCAATATATGTTCATTCTGGACCTCTCTCTGTTCATTTTTAGGATGCAGACAAGGGCGTGGGTCTGTCACGGACTTAAGACAGACCCCACTCCCCCCCCATCCGCCCACGGAACAATACCTGCTTCTCTATCAACTTGAGGGTGTCCTCGGAGACCGAGGCGGTGCCCTTGGCCTTCCTGGTCTGGTTCACGGCCCTGGTACGTATTTTCCTCAGCGCCTCTTTGGCTTTGTTGGTGATCTGTTTGGCCACAACCACCAGGTTCTCCCTGTGTTCGCGGGTGACTCTAGACAAGGAGGAGAAAAGGCTTTCTGGGTGATGGGGAGTGGAAGGGACTCAGTGGGGAGAACTGGGCTTCACCTGCACAGGTGAGGCGTGAGGCCAGAGGGACCTGCCTTCAACGGAGCCCACAGCACTGGCACGGGCTGGCAGCAACGACCCTCAAGGGCCCCATGCTTTGTTTTTTTTTGGCAGACAAGACAAATACAGCCAAAGAGCAAAATACAGTACTGTAAAACCAGGTGGCGTGACAGCTGTTTGCTGACTGCCATGTTTTTCATCCTCTAGTTTCGCCTCTTCTCTTTTATACCCATCCTGGAGTTTCTCCTGCTCCCCTCCCCATCCACTGGTGACCTCAGGAGCGCCGTAATGATCAGCCTGCTACGGATCCTCAGCAACCCCCTCCGATCCTCAGCAATTAGGAGAATAATAGCCGTTGCCTTCAGAATCCGAGCCAGAAGGGCGGGGAAAAGAGGAAGAGCAAGCCGAGGAAGGCAAGAAGGGAGGAACGGAGGAAGAGGAGGTGTAAGAACTGGAGAAATCTGAATGGGACTTTTACTAGCGCAGGTGAGAAAGATACTATGGAAGGTATTCTCGAAGGCTACTATGGAACCTTTCTCCATCATGGGGAGAGGGGCTAAACTGTCTTCAGCTAACCGGATAGCGCAGTGATTTAGGCTCTGACTGGAGGGGGGGGGAGGTAACAACAATGGGAATCCAAAAAGCGTTGCAGAAATTACCAGCTTCCAGAATTGCGAGAATGAACACCCCCAATGCACACGCCATATTTCCTATCTAATGTAAGAACTGACTGGAAGAAATGCTTGTATTATTATTTTTAAGTGGGGTTTTGGAGTTTCCAAACTCGGCGTTCCCGTGCCTCATTGTCTAAAATCCAGCCTCTTCACAATTTGACCGATGTGCCGATCACCGAGAGGCGGCTGTCAGTGACGCCGGACCGATTGGACAAGCGTCTCCTCACTTTATTCCTTCCTTCCTTTAACTTCTGCCTTAGTATTTGCTTTCAGGCCTGGCGGCCCGAGGGGGCTCACAATGTCATTTTAAAAAAACCAAGCACCACAACAAAGAAATATCAGCTGGTTTCAGATAAGTTCACTCAGAAGCTGAGCTGGTGTAAAATAAAGAAAGAAAAGTCCTTCCTTAATCAGGATAGGTAAAAAACACAGAGACATTTAAAAATGAGAAAATAAGTAAGTCAAAAATAAATGAAGAAAGAAAAAACAGGAGCAGCAAGTCAACTGACGAAGCCTCGGTTTTGAGAAGTGAAACTCACCCTGACGGTATTCACAAAGTTTTCACCCAGGGCTGAAAGGAGGTAGCGAAGGGTGTCAGGGGGGCTTCTCTGAGCCAAGATGCCCTGTTTTTTGGGGGGAGGGGGACCACAGCAGAGAAGGCTCTGTCTAGGCAACCTTACTGAGACCAAAGGTGGGGTGGGGGGGCAAAGGAAGGGCTCAATTCAGCCCCTGGACTTGAGTTTCCCCATCCCGTTACATGGGACAATCTCTCCCATTATCTCCCCCCAAGTTAGGGGGGGACAAGACAGAGAGAGAGAGAGAAAAATCACCACTACGGCCACTTACTTGGGGACGGGCACTCGAATGATGGCGCCGTCTGCTTCCGGGTTTAGGTTCATCCCGCTCTCTTGGATAGCCTTCACAGCCGCAGCTGTGCTCTGCGAAAAGCGGGCACGGGGAGGGAAGGGGGGGGAAGAAAAGAGATCAAAAAAAGGCAGAGGGAATTAGCAAATAATTATTACCAGACGCCGGAGCTCTCGATCAAGGGGGACAAATCTATCTTGACAGAACATGGAAACATTTAGTTCAGTTACCAGCAAGACCAGGAAGTTAGCGCGGCTCCGGCGGCTTTGATCAAACTCAATTGAAAACTGCACCCCCACCCCACCCCTGCCCCTCCACCCCCTCGGTATCGAGGTATCAGTGAAGCAGGAGGATGAGGTTGGTGGAAGGGGGGGAACGCAAAACTGAAAATGGAAACCATTTCGACAGTTTGAGGCAAGGCAGATTTTTTAAAATATTTTTTTAAGGGCAAAGAAATCTCGGGGGGTGGGTTGAGGCGGTCCGCGGCCAGACTCTGGACTCTGCAAGACGCGAGGGCCGAGGCAGATGAAAAGATATCGGGATGCGGCTCAGGGCACCAAAGATCTTACACGGCAGTCGCTAGGAGGGGAGAGTGGAATGGCTGGTAACTCATTCCACATTGCTACAGGCAAGTGTGAAAATAAGCTAGGGGGATCAGCAAGAGGTCTGCTCCTTTCAGCTGTGGGTTTTCAGGCCGTCTCCGAGCGCAGACGGCCCCACCAGCAACCGCCACCGCGAGGCAGTGTTGGAACAGGGCTGAGATTGGACGCAGGATGTAACCCTTTCAGTTAGCTCCGGAGGGTTCCCTCAGCTGAGGATGAATGTTTAAATTCCACAGTGGAACAGCCAAAAAATTAAAAAATCCACATGACAGAAAGCTGGACGCAGCATCCTGCTTCAAAAATTATATATGTATGTATATAAATGTGTGCCTAATGCTACTAGATAATGAACAAATATGTATATATAATTGTACAAATATATAATGGACAATTTTATATATATATAGAATTGTCTGCCTAGTACAACCAGATAATCAACATTCAAAATAACCATAACATACTGTATTTTTCGCTCCATAAGACACACCTTTCCATAAGATGCACCAATTTTTTAGGAGAAGAAAACAGGAAAATATAATCTGTTTTCTTTGCTCCATAAGACGCACAGACTTTCCACACCCCTGTTTTGTGGGGGAAAAGTGCGTCTTATGGTGCGAAAAATACGGTAATATGGATGTATGAATGGCTAAGTGATGGTAGCAAACTTTGTTTACGTTAATAGGCAAGTTTAATAAAGTGTCCCAGCTATTCACACTGATCATGTCACGCTCCAGTTCAAGAAAATGTTTAAAATGACGTTTTCTAAAAGAGACCTCGGGAAGGCTGAATGAGTGAGAAAGGCCGGCAAGCAAAGACGGGGAAAGAAACCGAGTGTCTAGAAAGCCCACCCCTTTAAGCAGAATCTTCTGTAAGTCTTGGCTGATCCGAGCGCCTGCTGTTCGAATAACGCCGACAATATCACTGGGCCCAATTTATTTCTAGCGTTACTAGTCCAAAGCAGGAGTAAGAAACAGGGAAAATACCGGATTATGCTGTCTCTTGATTGGTGGAAACGTGAGCCACCTTCCTCCGTTTCTGATTCCAGCTGATCCCTTTCCAAGCATTTTCAAATGCACCACTGCGCCCAAGAAGGCTAAAAAAAATTGTGGTTTTTATATCAAAATGGCATTCCGAAGCTGGACTGGGTGCCAAAATTCTGAAGCCACGAAGCTGCCTCTGTTTGTTCACAAGTCAGGAGGGGCCACTTCTGGAGGAGGGTTTACTCTATGGGGTGGGGGGCCCCTTTCGGCACAAGAAGTCAGATTCCATCTCCAGGAGATTCTTGGGGGGGAGAACCCCATTCTGGAAGGGGGCAGGGCTAAAAAAACCACCCATGTACCTCGCTGTAATGCTTTTGCTGCTGGTCCTTAAGTCTTAGGAAAAGTACTGTGACCAGCAAGAGCAGACAGGCTAAACTCTTTCTTTCAGCTGTGGGCTGAGGTCTTACAGGGAATTGGAGAAGCAAGAGGGGTGTTCAGCTTGTAGGGTTCTCTAGTCCAGTGGTCCTCAATCTTGGGTCCCCAGATGTTCTTGGCTCCCAGAAATCCTGGCCAGCACAGCAAGTGATGAAGGCTTCTGGGAGTTGTAGTCCAAGAACATCTGGGGACCCCCCCAGTTTGAGAATCACTGCTAGTCAACCCACGCCTATCAGATTTGGGCACATGAACTGCTGGATAGCTCAGTGGTTTAAGTCTCTGGCTGAAGAGCCAGAGGTTGGGAGTTCGATTCCCCGACTGGGCAGAGGCTGGACTGGATGATCTATAGGATCTCTTCTAGCTTTGCAGTTCCAAGATGATAATGATGATATTATATCCTGCTGAACAAAAAAAAATAGCTCTAGTGGGAGAGCTACTCTCATGCAGGAATTAGATCGTCAGACTGAAAATCCAGAAGATCAAAGTTCCTTCGGCTTAACCTACTTTACAAGGTCGTTGTATGGATTCCTGGATTCCTTAGGTGAAAAGGTGGGTACAAATGTAACTCACACACAAAGAAATACATGCAAAGGAGACGCCAGGGCCCAGCCACGCAGAAGCCCACGGGAGGCGCTGCTTACTTACTTCTGGGAAGTTGCTCATGTTGACAAGCATGAGTTGCGGAGACTTCAGAGTGATTTGTGCAAGCTCGTTTAAAGGAAATTTCCCGCTGCTGGTTACAACCGTAATATGATGGAAAGCCCCTGAAAGGAAAGGAGAGCAGTAAGGTGGGCGAGTGGTTTGTGGGGCTGCTGGCAATGTGAAACGACCAAATATAGAATTCCCGGCTGCCCAAAAAGACACCCACCACTGTTTTGTCTTGTGGGCTCGGCCCAGAGAAGAGGGGGCTGAGAAGGGAGAGCTGTTTTCAAAGGTCTGGAAACAGGGGAGGCATGGAAGGGGGAGGGAGGCTGTTGCATGGGGAGGCTGTTGCATGGAAGACGCAACAAGCTTAGTCTTTGCCAGTAACTTCCAGAGACCTGAACAAGTGGATTCAAATGATAAGAAAGGAAGTTTTCAACTAATCACAAGGAAGAGCTTCCAGATAGGAAGGACCGTCTGACAGCAGATGCTTCTCCAATTGAGGATTTCAAACCCAGGCTGGATGGCTGCAGGTCAGGGATACTTTAGCCTTGGTTTTCATGCAACGGCGGCAGGCTGGACCAGATGGCCCTTAGGGAACCCCTCCCAATTCAACAATCCAAAGAAATGTCAACCTCTTTTGCACGGCGGCGTGCTTGGGCACGAAAAAGCAACAGGAAAGCGGTGGCCTTTAAGTGTTTCTGAACCTCACCAGCTCTTTGGAACCCACCTTTGGTTTTCCCTGCAACAACATGGGATTAGACACAGACACCTTCAGCTGCGGAAGATGGAACAGGGCTTGGACAGAAAAACGGAAGAGATGCACGGAAAGAGCGACAAGGTTAAGTAGGATGCGAGCCAACACAACTGAAGCTGGAAAAGGGCATGTGCAGCCATGGGGTGGAGGAATGCGGCGTGGGGATCCCTTTTTAGAGAGACTTCATATGGAACACTTCTGTATCTTTGACCAGCGCGCTCCCATCTTCCCTCCATTCCAGATGAGCGAAAGAGTTCAGGACACATTATAAAACAACAAACTCATTATACAAAGGGAAAGAAGAGTTGTCCTCACGGCTGCCTTCCACCCCTTCTTTCTCCCACCTCCATCCCTCCTCCCAGCCATCTCGATGCCGATTTCCAAGAGACTAAATTAGCAACAATTTCCCCTTTCCGGCTGGGGGCCACGTTAGTAGCGGACAACTTTTTTTTCCCCTCATCATGTCTGCAGCCAGTCGGCTTAGGGTCTTCTGACATACCCCACTCCCAGTGGCCGCTGGCAGGAAGCTATTAGCCAAACAGATCCTTCCTGGTCAAGTTCGGGGTGAGAAAAAGCAGCTGGCTTATTTCTTAAGGCTCTTAAAATGGGAGTGGGGGGGAATATCAGTTCAGTACCTGGTCCAGCATTCTGAAGATGTAACGCATTGCTTGTGAGGACCTGAAGGGCCACCCAGGTCTCTGAAGCTGTTCTCCGGGTATTTAAAGGAGCCCCTGTCCTTCCTCTCAGAAACCAACCACCAGCCCTTTTTAAAGCAAGCTTCAGAATTGATGAGCTGCCCTGGCAGATCAGGTGGAACCCCAACAGGACTGGGGAAACTGCTGTCGTGTGCCCGAAACCCTGAATCGGCCCGTCTCATCTGGCTTTTGAAGCTAAGCATGGCGAGGTGTGGTTAGTAACTGGAGGGGAAACCCTTAAGTGAACTGAGCAGGGGGATTGTGAAAACAGGCGTCAGGTGCACCTTCTAGTTCTTTAGTGTGGTATTTGTTTGTTTCCTTTTAAATATTTGCATACTTCTGTTTATAGCTTTTAAAAATTGCCTTTAAATCCAGCAACCAGGCCACTTAGCCACACTACTCAGCAATTTTCTAGAGCACGTGCAGAATGCAAAAAGGGTTCTGTACCCATTAAATAAGCCTGGGGTTAAATCAGAGAAAAAACTGGAGGGGAATGGTGGCAGGTTTGAAGGCACATGTGAGAAAGGCCAGCCAGGGTTTTCCCCTTACCTGGCTAGCCCCGGCTGTTGCCTTTTCACACTTATTGTTTTTAGCTTTAAATATTGTCTTTTAAGGATGTAAGCTGCCTGGGGTCCTTTTCAAAGAGAAGGTGGAGTAAAAATATTTGAAACAAATAAATAAATAAATAACAGAGGCTGGTGAAACGTTAGAACAACCTTCAGAACACGGCCAAAGAGCCCGAAAAACCCACAAAAACCAAATAAATGACTGTTTGGTAGGACACACAAGCTAGGCCTGCTCCTGCACAGTAAACACCCTGGTCCCCCTTCCCCAAACCAGAGAGATAACATGAAGGCCGTGAAGCTCAGAGGTCAGGGACTCACCTGGGGAGGTCCTGATATTCAAAGTTTTGTTGAACTCTTCCTGTAGGTCTGTAACCACTGCCTGCATGTCCTGATTTGCTTCTTCCAAGTTGATGATATCTTCGACTAAAGAGACGTTGATGTTCACTCGGGCCTGGCCTTTCCCTTTTGCTGGAAAAGCACAAAGACACTGAGGTCCCTCTTCTGGCATGGCATGTTATTTTGCAACCCAAACAAAAATGTGTTCTGTGTTTCTTTCACCACGAGCCATTATTATTATTTTTCTTAAAAGTTGCATGCGACTTTACAATAATGCTCAACCCCTAATTTCGGTGGCTTTTTAAAAACAAAATCCCCCGTTGCCCTCTTGCCTCTCCAAGTATGGCCCAGATTAGAAAACGGTTCAAAGAAAACAGGGAAAGAGGTAAGACAGGATGCCACCACCCCTGCTAATCGGAAAGTGACTGCTCTTTATTTATAGATTTATTTTTGGGGTACAACTTTCAGACCCTCCTGGATTTGAGGCCACGGTCTTTCTCAGGTGCCTACTTTCCTCCGACCACCACCACCACTGTCGTTTTCTGTCCCGTTACCTCCTTTACAACGCTCTTGAGAATAATGTTGATCATGCTTATAAATATCTCTGCGTAATTATGATGGAGAGCTCGTCCACTCCTTTCCCCCCGGCGCTAGTCTTGGAGTCAGCTGAAATCGCCGCTGAACTGACAGATGGATAGGTTTTTTTAACACCAGGGACTTTAAAGAAGGTTTCGATACCTTTGGCTTTCTTGGTAGCAAGGTGTCTGGTGGGTAAGGTTGGCAGGATCCAGCTGTCCCTGCAGCCATGCCAAAGCAAGACCCGGTAGTTGATGGGGGCCCGGAGCGACAACTTTGCGGAGGAACAGACCACGGGTGCCAACTGCCGGAGACACCTCAGGAATCCAGCCATCGTGAGCTACCTAAAAAAAAACAAGACAAGAAAGGAGGCGTGTTCTTTGGGTGATTATTATCATAGGGCTATCCTGTTTTGCAAGCACAGGGAAAATCGGATCGGCGCTCCAGGATGCAGGAAGGCGATGGGGAAGTAGAAGCGGGTGGAAACTATGCAGAGAGTCCCTCTGCATGTTTAGCTGAGCGCAACCGGTTTTCCAAACTGGCGAGTGAGCTTGCAAAAACAGGCACGCTTTCAAATTAAAAATTGAAATTAAAACTGGCCACATGGGATAAGAGAGTGTTCTTTTGTAGGGTGCCACCCTACAAAAGGCCCCGCTCTGCATGGCAGCAGAGAGCACCTCACCCCATCCTCAGGGGACCTGCAGAGCTGGGAAGGGGAGATTCGCAAAGGAATCCCTCCAAAGGGGCCAGGGTGGATTTTAAGGAAATTCCCCCTTGCATTGCTTGGCCCAAACCCTCTTTTTCTGATTTTTTTTTTTTTTGAAGGTGGGGGAAATACCAGGGAAAAGGCTTAATCCGGATTCGAAACCGATTTCGCTTTTGCCCATGTAGACAAGCTAGATCCGGATTCCCCTGCGCAGAAAAGAGAGACTGAGGATTGCAGGCCCCGCCCACCACTGCTCAGGCCCCGCCCACTACGCCTCTTCATTGGATGCCTCTTGGCTCCGCCCACCAGCCACAAGTTCCGCCTCCCAGGGGACATAACTGACAGGTCGCCCCCACAAGCTCCGCCCACCTCCCCTAAGAAGTCTCTTTCGGACGGGACGAAAGGGGAAAGAACTCCGAACAGGGGGC